ACAACCAACACCACGGAAATACAAAAGATCATTAACAACTACTACGAACAACTATATGGCAACAAATTCGACAATCTAAGCGAAATGGACACATTTCTAGAAACACACAGTCTCCCAAAACTATTCCCGGAAGAAATAGAAAACTTGAACAGACCAATAACAACTAAGGAAATTGAAGAGGTAATCAAGACTCTCCCAGCAAACAAAAGCCCAGGCCCAGATGGTTTCACGGGGGAGTTTTACCGAACATTCAAAAAAGAACTAACACCCATTCTCCACAAACTATTTCAAAAAATTCAAGAAGAAGGAAGACTTCCAAACACGTTCTATGAGGCCAGCATAATTCTAATTCCAAAACCAGAAAAAGACACTACGAAGAAAGAAAACTACAGGCCAATATCCCTGATGAACATAGACGCCAAAATCCTGAACAAAATATTAGCAAATCGGATCCAGAAATACATCAAAAAAATTATTCACCATGACCAAGTGGGATTCATTCCAGGGATGCAAGGCTGGTACAATATTCGCAAATCAATAAACGTGATACACTACATAAACAAAATGAAGAATAAAAATCACATGATCATATCAATAGATGCTGAAAAAGCATTCGACAAAATCCAGCATCCATTTCTGATATAAACGCTCAGCAATGTGGGAATAGAGGGATCATATCTCGACATAATAAAGGCCATATATGAAAGACCTACAGCCAACATCATACTCAATGGACAGAAACTAAAAACATTTCCATTAAGAACAGGAACAAGACAGGGATGTCCACTTTCGCCACTCTTATTTAACATTGTACTGGAAGTCTTAGCCACAGCAATCAGACATGAAGAAAAAATAAAAGGGATCCAAATTGGAAAGGAGGAAGTGAAACTGTCATTATTTGCAGATGACATGATATTGTACATAGAAAACCCTAAAGACTCCATCAAAAATCTATTAGACTTAATAAATGAATTTGGCAAAGTAGCAGGATACAAAATTAACGTCAAGAAATCGACGGCATTCTTGTACATCAATGATGAACTCACAGAAAGAGAAACTGAAAAAACAATCCCATTTACCATCGCGCCAAAAAAATTACGATACCTAGGCATAAACTTAACCAAAGAAGTAAAGGACCTATTTACAGAAAACTACAGGTCATTGAAAAAAGAAATAGAGGAAGATATAAAAAAGTGGAAGCACATACCCTGTTCATGGATTGGAAGAATTAACATCATTAAAATGTCCATACTACCCAAAGCAATCTATAGATTCAATGCAATCCCCATCAAAATACCAACGACATATTTCATAGAACTAGAACAAATACTTCAAAAGTTCATATGGAACCAAAAAAGATCCCGAATAGCCACAGCAATCTTGAAAAAGAAGAACAAAGTAGGTGGGATCACAATACCAGATATCAGGTTATATTACAAAGCGACTGTAACCAAAACAGCCTGGTACTGGCACAAGAACAGGCATATAGACCAGTGGAACAGAACTGAAAACCCAGAAATGGACCCAAGGCAATACGCTCAATTAATATTTGACAAAGGTGGAAAGAGCATACAGTGGAGTAAAGACAGCCTCTTTAATAAATGGTGTTGGGAAAATTGGACAGCTACATGCAAAAAAATGAAACTAGACCATCAACTTACACCATACACAAAAATAAACTCAAAATGGATAAAAGACTTAAATGTGACCCGTGAATCCATAAAAATTCTAGAAGAAAATGTAGGCAAATGTAGCATGTCAAATATAGCAGTGAATAAATAAAGTTAAAGAAATGCAAAGATACTACAACATTAAAAAAATTGTCATTGGAATTTCTCTATATTAATAGATTAGAAGACAAAATGCATTTGATCATGTCCAGGGGTACATAAAAAGCCTTTGAAAAAATACTTAACAACACATAGTAAAAAAATATATATATATATCAAAATAACATCTGAAGAGATTTCTATTTCCTAAAACCTACAACAAACTCATACAAATTGAAATGTTATAAGAATTCACATTAAAGTCAGGATAAAGACACAGATGTTATGGCACCATATCTGCTGTTTAAAAGTGGACTGGGATATGTAACTAGAGGAATAAAAGTATCAAAATAAATAAGAGGAAGGAATATTGAAAAGACAGAGATAATAAATGGTGACAATATGATCTTATTAGGAATCCAAACGAACCATTGCACAAACTATTCAAATTAATGAGACCCCAAAAGCTACTGAATAGAAGACTACCATGCCAAAATCTGGAGCCTAGCCACACAAAAGCAGTAACTAATTAAATAATGAAATTATCCCAATACCAAAAAGAAACCTAACAAAAATGTACACTATCTTTTTGGAGGTAACTATAAAAATGTACTGATAGACGTAGGGAAAGAAGTCCCAAATAAATAGAGGAATACACTGTTTTTATTCATGAGGAAAATAATATTTTTAACATGTCAATTTTCCTTAAGTTATTTACAGATTTACTACCTATTCTAGACTGAATTTTGCCCCCACCCCATTCATATGTTGAGCCCTAATCCCCAGTATGACTGTATTTGGAGACAGGGTCTCAAGGTGGTAATTAAGGCTAAATGAAGTCATAAAAGTGGGAACCTAATCCAATAGGGCTGATGCCACTATAAGAAGAGGAAGACACCAGAGATCACTATCTCTCTAGGCATTTATAGAGAAGAGTCCATGTGAGGACACAGCAAGAAGGTGCCCATATGCAAAGCCAAGAAGAGAGAGCTCTTAACAGAATGTGAATCTGCCAGTGCCTCTGTCTGGGACTACTAGCCTCTAGAACTGTGAGGGGGAAAATATCTATTGTTAAGATTCCCTGACTGTAGTATTTTGTTATTCTTTTGCCCACAGTGATGAATACCTTGCCTCACAGGTATGTAGCTAGCAAGATGGCTACTAGACTCGGGCTGCTATTTCCTGAAATCAACCCCGAGAAACTGTAAAAGGGGAAATGAAAGAGTAATACCAGCCACAAAACATAAAAAGAGAAACCCCTAGAAGAGACTGTATGTACTGAACTAGCACCTGTGTGTGGACATGACCTGGAGTTGAGACAGGTCTGTAGCCCGGGAGAGGGTCAAATGACAGGATTGGTTGGAGGAAAGATTTTAAAGTTCAGCCCTTGTTTCTTCCACTCTGCCCTGACACAATGCATTTCTCCTGCTTCACTGAAGAACCCAGAGCAGCTCCTCAGAGCCCGTGTGCCAAGATCATGGGTAATATCAGCATGGCGCCAACATTTGGGGTTGTTTGGAACAGTGTGAGTCCAGAAACTGTGCAGTAACCACCTGAGATCTCCTTACAGGGCGAGGACAGGCCTTTTAAAAAAGTTACATTATTCTCAAACATAAGGAATTACCAAGATATACATCCTCCCATGAAAACACACACACACACTTTGGAGATGTGAATATATTTCTTACTATGAATGAGGGGAAAAAAATAAAATAAACATCCCTGCACAGGACTGAGCAATGTGAGATAATGTCAAAAGATCTGGGTCTCACAAAATCACGCAGCTCAGCCTCTTCCCCTTAGAAAGGAGATGATTTACAGTAGAAGGTTTCTCAAGTTTGGCTGGGGAACAAATACTGTGGGTCAGCGAGTTTCCCTTACAGCCCACCAGCCTTAATGAGACCCTGCCTTGCACTGTGACTTCCCCATCTCATATCTAGCCTGGGGCTCTTACCCATTTTCTGCATAAGGTCTGCAGTAGGGAAACAGCTCAGAGCTTTCAGAGTAGGTATTTCCCAGGAGCCTTTAAAGGAGCAGCCCAGAGACACCCTCTTCCCTGCATTCCAGCAGAGAACTAACAGGACAAGCCACACAGAACAGAAGGCCATCCCAGAGCCCCTCCTCTGCTTTCAGACCTGGGAAGCCCTGGACAGAGCTGTCTGCAGAAGGGGCTCCCAGCTGACTTCTACCTGCAGGGTCCCAGGTCCTGGATAGGCTGTCAGCAGCACAGAAACGTGACCCCCGCCCCTCCCGCCCTCGGACTAAGGAGCTCTCACAGACAGAACGCCGCGTGGACCCAGGCACGCTCACCATGACCCACCCCGTGCGCGAGCTAAGAGGCCTGGAGCTCTCGCAGACAGAAGGCCACGTGGACCCAGCCCGCGCGCACCATGACCCACTCCGCGCGCGAGCTAAGAGGCCCGAGGAGTGACTGTTAACGCCAACGACCTACCGCTAAGTTCTGTCTGGATGTTCCCGGAAATGAACACTTTGATCTGAATCTGGTAGACTCAGATCAAAGAGAGAAAACCCCCAGGCTTTATTCGGAGGCCAGGAGTCAAGGAGAAGACCCTGAGTAAGGACTGGGGGTACCTTCAACCTCGCACAGACCCCTGCCCCCACGGTCTACCTTGGGAGCCACCTGGCAGGGCTGTCAAACTGGGGTGGGGGTGGGTGGGGGCGGTCTTTGGTCTCACGGGGGTGGCCACAGGACTGAGTACTGTAAACCGTAATTATTCAGGGCATGGGGGATCCCGTAAGACCCTGCTCCTGTAGTCAGCTCTGGAAGGCCCCAGCAGGGTGGGGAGATAAGGCTCTCCCTCGTTTCCTCCCCAGGCCTCTCAGGAAGCTAAGGCCATTGGTGTAAGGAGTTGAGCCTCACAGTCGCAGGAGGATGCCTGGCCCTGCCCACAGTGGTTGACAGGATGATCCTACATGTGAAGGAGGAGAGGATTCTCCACCTCAGAGCACAGGGGACCCCACAGCCCCTGCTCTCAGCCTAGGGCACACTCTAACTTCCTCTGTGGGTTGTCCGGGCAGAATCTGATTGGAACAGGAGCCCTGTGGGTTCCCAGAGTGCTGCCCTCAGACCCTGCAGAGATGGCCTTGGTTAAAGCCAAGGTACAATGTCCCTGCTGAGGGTGCACACACCATGTCATTCCCCCTCCTCCAGGTGCCCTCTTTGCCTGCCCTCCTGCCTGCTTGTGCCTGCTGTCCCTGACCAGTGTCATCATGCCTCGGGGGCGGAAGAGTAAGCGCCGAGCCCGTGAGAGACGCCGCCGGGCCCAAAGGCAGGCTCAGAGGCTCCAGGGTGCTCAGGCCCCTGCGGCAGAGGTGGAAGAGTCCCCCTCCTCTGCTGCTTCGGAAAGTTCTTCCCTGAGCTCCCCTTCTCCTGGCCCATTCCAGGAGCCTCAGGGAGCCACAGCCACTTGCTCTCCTGAGGCAGATGTCTCATGCCCAAGGTCTGGTGATGGTGCCAAGAGCCAAGATGAGGAAAGTGCAAGTGCCTCCGGGGCGGCGCCCAGCACTTCCAGTCCCCGCAGGAGCCCTCTAGATCAGAAGGCATTTCTGTTGGTGCAATTCATGCTGCGCAAGTATAACCTGAAGGAGCCCATAACAAAGGAAGACATGATGAAGCATGTCATCAAACAGCACCAGCACTACTTCCATGAGATCCTCAAGAAAGCCTCCGAGCTAATGGTGCTGGCCTTTGGCATTGATGTAAAGGAAGTCGACCCTGCCAGGCACTGCTATGGCCTGGTCAACAAGTTGCGCCACGCTGGCGATGAGAGCCTGAGGGGAGAGATCATGCCCAAGATGGGCCTCCTGATGACCATCCTCTGTGTGATCTTCATGAAGGGCGACTGTGCCAGTGAGCAGGAGATCTGGGATGTCCTGAATGCGATGGGTGTACATGCTGGAAAGGAGCACTTCGTCCACGGGGAGCCCATGAAGCTCATCACAGAAGACCTGGTGCAAGAAGGTTACCTGGTGTACCGCCAGGTGGCTGGCAGCAATCCTCCACACTACCAGTTCCTGTGGGGCCCACGGGCCCATGCCGAGATAACCAAGATGGAAGTCCTGAAGTTCTTAGCCAAGCTGCACGATACCCACCCCGGTGCCTTCCCAGTCTGGTACGAGGAGGCGCTGAGAGATGAAGAAGAGAGAACCCGAGCCAGATTTGCAGCTATGGCTCGCACCGGGGCCCCGGCCAGTGTGCCTTCCAGGGCCAATTTCAACAGGTTCTCCCACATGTATTGAAATCTGAAGCACTCTCTTCACTTTGTGCTTCAAGTAGTGGGGGGGGGGGGGGGCTTAGGTGGTGCTGGAGGGAACACAGTGCACATCATCTCTGTGTTCTATGTTAGTAACTTGTAGCTTTATCTTGTTGTTGCTGAATGTTTTCAAATGTCGTTCTATAAAAAAAAAAATGTTTAATTAGCTTTAGAACCTAAGTGTATGAATGATATTGGTTACATATTTAACTCTGTTTATGAGGCTTAAGAGTAAGAGTTTTGCTATTTTACTAAACAAATTGGGTAACCTTCCATCTCATTTAGTGATCTGGAACAAGAAGACATGCCATTGAAAAGGCATTTGGTTAGAAATGTGAAAAGAATTAGTGGTAAAATAGTTGAGATAAAAAAATAGAGAAAAAAGTAAAAGATGGTCAATTGTTGGTTCCCCTTATTCTTTGTATTCTGCTGTTCTGTGAAATAAAAGTTATAGACCTGCACTTGCTTCATTTATTCAAGTACATAGGAGAAATTAAATCATAATGAACTGCTTCCTGCCTTTTTTTACTCCTCAAACATTAATTGAGCATCTACTCTTGGGAAGGCTCCATGGTGGTAGGGGGGATGGTAAGAAAAAGAAGACAGAGCCACTGCCCCTAGAATGATCAAGGCGGGAACCAGCTACCATAAAAGGAAGATGGTGAGATACCCTCTAAGACAAAAATACAAGTGGAAAGAAGTATGAGGAGGGGAGGAGGGAGGGTCCTGATGAGGGCAGTCAAGTGTAAATGTCCTGAGGCAAGATAATCTGGGGCCTTGGTAAACCTCAAGTCCTTCAATGGGAGGCAATTTGAAGTTAAGGTGGGTGGTGCCTCAGAGGGGTGTGTGAGGGGGGTGCCTCAGAGGGGGGTGTGAGGGGGGTGCCTCAGAGGGGGGTGTGAGGGTGGTGCCTCAGAGAGGAGTGTGAGGGGGGTGCCTCAGAGGGGGGTGTGAAGGTGGTGAGCAAGGGCCAGACCCTTGGGTGGTGGGTCTCAGACTTGAGAGGCTGAGACCCTAATGGAGAACTGCTTTTAGCAGTGACTTTGGGGTCATGGATAAAGCAGAGAGAACTTTCTGCCTGGGGCAGGGATGTAAGGTGCCCTGAGCTTTTGTCCCAGTGCAGAAAAACGCAGTCCACAGAATAGGTATTTTATCCCCATCATCTCCAGGGAATTTCTGAGAAATCAGGGTAATACTTCCTCGAGGTGGGATCCAAGCAGCCACTGTGCTGGCACTCATTCCTGGGCTGGGAGAAGCAGTGTGTGCTCCATAAAAAGGGCATTTTAGCTAGCTATCTGGAGTAAAAATTGGCAAACTCTAAGGGAGGGCTTGATTTCGGTAGAGGTCAATGAATGAAAATAGGTGATTTGGATCAAAGGGCATTTGGAAGAGGGGAAAGGGAGTTGTTTTATGACACACATGTTAGGAGCTTTGGGTTATATCCAGAGGAGTGGGATTCCCCAACATCGAAATTAAATACTATTTCCTCTAAGAGGAATGATTTGCTAAGGTATTTTTCTTGCTAAGCAGAATTTTTGGCAAAGTTATCCACTGTTCTTCAGCACTGCATATTCTCAGACATATCTTGGATTAACACAGCAACAGAACAAAACAACCCCCCCCCCAAAAAAAAAAAAAAATCTCAACAGGATGCTGGGTCTTATCTGGGGTCCAAAAAAAAAAAAAATCATAGTAATAATTGCCATTCTCAATGCACACCGTTCACTGTGCCAGGCACTTTACATTCGTTACACTCATCCAGCAGTCCTAGAAGGAAGGATGCACCAAACCCATTTCATGGATGAAGAAACCGAGGCTCAGAGAGTTTGCTGAGGTGCTGAATTCAAAAGGCTGGTGAGTGACAGAGCCCTAATCTGAATTTGTCAAGAACCCACACTACTCACCTCCACCCAGCCTTGTGTCTATTAATCCATTCCTCTTCTCACTATTCCATGATGTTTTTCAGGCAGTGAGAAGCAAAAGCCTGAGGCTAAAGTACTGAAGGAAGGGGAACATGGAAATCAAACACAATTTGGGAATTGTCTGGGAGCTTCATTTACCCAGAGTCCTCCTACCCCAGCCCCACCCCAGGTTTCCCTAAGAGCTGACTCTGCCCAGGTCCCAACACAAGTGCCCATCCCCAGCCCTTTCCTGCGTTACAGCACCCTTCCCCTGTGTCTTCCTCAGTGTGCCTCCTGTCTACACTGGAACCTGTCTTGTCAGCCAGCTCTTCTCTGCATCCTCCTCTGCAGGCTGCACCCTGCTCCCCATGGAACATACAGCCCATATCTCCTGCCATCCCCAAAGTAGAGCATCCAACTCCTGCAGATCCCGTCCTTCACTGTGGACCCTCTGATAGCAGCAGCCCCTTCACGCAGTCACTTACTTCAGACAGTGAAGTTTAGACACCATTTCATACTCCCTGGCTGCTTCCACCAAACTTTCAAAGATTTTTTGCCAAATCAGTTGGTAGGTAGACACTGATTTCACATGAAATCTGCGGGGTCTTGGTTTATAACCCTGAGGCTAGGGAGGAGTTTTTGATACAACCATAATAATTGCTACAAATTTTTTAATATATTTTTACTTTTTTCTAAAATTACAGTTTACATTCAATATTAGTTTGTATTAGTTTCAGGTGTACAGCATAGTGGCTGAACAATCATATACTTTATAAAGTGTTCCTCTGATATTTCCAGTCCCACTTGGCACCTTACAGAGTTATTAAAATATTACTAAGTATATTTCCTGCAGTAGAATATTAAAAGAGTGTCTTATTTGGGACAGGTCACTGAATCTGTACAATGATTTGTGAGCTTAACTATGTGTCCAAGAAGCAAAGCCTCCCTCTTAAATGGGAGATGGAAAGGCCCGAGGAAACCACTTTGTAGGAACGATCAGTTGAGGCTATATTCTAACAGACCTTGTAGTCCCTCGCAGTTGTACTAGTATTCTACAATTGCCATAACAAATTAGTAGAAGATAAGCAGTTTAAAACAACACACATGTATTAGCTCACATGTCTGTGGGTGAGAAATCCAAATTGCTTCTTCTGATTTCTCTGTTCTGGCTTTCACAAGGCCCAAGTCAAGCTTTCAGCTGGTGGGCCTCTAGATCACAAGCTCTGGGAAGAATCTCCTTCTAAGATCATTCAGGTCGTTGGCACAATCGAGTTCTTTGTGGTAGTAAGACTAAGGCCCTGTGTCCTTGCTGACAGTTTCTCCTGGTCTCTCTCCAGTCCTTGCGGGTGGACCCATATATTTTGAATCAGCAATTAAATGGTGAATCCTTCTCACATGTGGCATCTCTCTAACTTTTCCTCTGCTGCACTTTTCTCTGCCTCCAGCCAGAGAACCTTCTCTGCTGGTAAGGGCTCATGTCATACATTGGGCCCTCCCAGATAATCCAGTGTATCTTTATTTCAAAGTTGGTTTCATACCTTTCCTATAGCTGCAAAGTGCCTTTGGCCATATAACATAACATGTTTACAGGTTTCAGGGTTAAGGTATGGGCATATCTGTGCAACAAATACTCAGTCTACCACCAAGGTAGAAAATGTCTCCAAATTACCCTTATTCTCCTGACTCTTGTCTGTACCTTCCCCAGGGGAAAACCCAGGTTTTTCAGTGTGCCTAACGACACCTGTACAAGTGGTCAGGGATGTTCTTCAGGTGATGGGTAGCAGAAACTCACAAGTGGTGATTTTGACCATGCAGCAAAAGGAAGAAGAGGATTCTTGTTGTATTAAGACCAGAAAGGTTATTGAAAAGATCAATGCAGAAAGGTGTCATAGAGTGCAGAAGGGTGACCCCTCCCTGCTGAGATTTACATTGTCTTTAGAAAATTGAGGTGATCCTGTATTTGAAAACACTGGTCGCATAGTAAGCATGAGAAAAATTTGGAGTGTTGCAAGGCAATTTGGGCCTTCTCAGAAACTCTTCCAACAACGCAGAGGCTTTTCTGTACAGATTATAAATGCTGCACTTTACTGATCACCTGCTCTGTAATTGTTGATGGGGAGACAACAAGTGCTCATGCGAGCTGTGTCTTGCTCTTTCTGCTTCCTGGGCACGTGGAGATACTATACTGTCAAGACCACTTGCATTAAGAAAGATTTTGAGATAAACTTTACCACTGAAATATAAACAGAATCAAAGTTTATCATTTCGAGACCAAGGCAATGAGAGTCAGTGTGTCACTTTCTGTTTTCTGTTCAATTCAGCAGCAAACATTGAGGGCCTGTGTTGAGGTGTGGAGTCACATGAATGGAGCAGCCTTCATCCCTGGGCCACTTACCAGTGTAGACCCCACCTCCCCATGTTAGATTTAATGTGCATAAAAACAACTTTTGTAGTGTTAGGTCATCCAGATTCCAGGCTTCTTCCCTTACATTAGCAGTTACGTATCTCAGTAACACACAGCTACTATTTCTGTTGTTAAGTCTTACTTAAACAAATTATAACAGAAATAGTGCATATATTGTTGATGCTAAAAAATTCTAAAAATACAAAATAATCACAATCTTACCTCCTTTCTATGGCCCTGTAAAATTCAGGCCCTACTAAGTAACCCCAAATGAAAACCCTGTCTTGTAAAAGACACAATTTTCACTATTTCTCCCCCTTAAAAGAACTAAAAACCCTGAATGTTATACATAAAATAAACATAACAGGACTTTCAGTGGTGGAGAGAAGGGAGACTGATTTAGGGACATCGGGATCCACAGAACAAACAATGGTAAATTCCTTTTTAAATATCTTTTTAATTTTGTCATTTTTATTTTGTTTTTGTTTTGCCTCATACATACAGACATGGCACTAAAAAATCCCACCACCTCTAAACAACAAACGGTGTTTAACAGCTTTAGAAAAAGAGTAGGGAAAAAATAAGACAAAATTTTAAGACAATAAGCCGCCTACTCTAGCCAGCATGACTGATAAAATAGAGATCTCATCTTTGCCCATGTCAGCAAAGGCCCCAAGGGGA